ATTCAATTGGAAGATATTAAAGGGGAAATTGAGCTTAAAGATGTGTACTTTAAGTATCCAGCAAGACCAGACGTGCAAATATTTTCCGGATTCTCGTTATATATTCCGAGTGGTAAAACAGCAGCCTTAGTTGGGCAAAGTGGAAGCGGAAAATCAACTGTTATTAGTCTGCTAGAGAGATTCTATGACCCCGAAGCTGGTGAAATACTTATAGACGGAGTTGATATTAAGAAATTTCAACTCAAGTGGCTCAGACAGCAAATGGGGCTAGTAAGTCAAGAGCCCGTGCTATTTGCAACTACTATTGGGGAAAATATAATGTACGGGAAAGAAAATGCCAGTGTGGAGGAGATCCGGAATGCAATCAAGCTCGCTAACGCAGCTAAATTCATCGACAAGCTTCCGAAGGTTGAGGCAACATTTTTTAGTATTTATCAAAACTTGAACACCATTTTTGTTTCTTAGGTTCTAAACTAACATTGTGAGTACATATTTGCAGGGTCTGGACACAATGGTTGGTGGGCACGGTACTCAGATATCTGGTGGACAAAAGCAAAGAATTGCCATTGCGAGGGCCATTTTGAAAGATCCAAGAATTCTTCTACTTGACGAAGCGACTAGTGCATTGGATGTGGAATCAGAGCGCATTGTACAAGATGCTCTAAGTAATATCATGATAAACAGGACAACTGTAGTTGTTGCCCATCGTCTGACAACCATTAGAAATGCTGATCTCATTGCAGTAGTGAATCTTGGGAAATTGGTTGAACAAGGTATTACATGTATTACTCTCTTCTTTCTAAAACTATTGTCGGACTAATGAATATAGGTACTACTTTGAATGCTCTCGGTTTGGTTTCTGGATGACAAGTGTTATATCCAAATAGAATGGTTCCGACCTTCTCCCAGAATAGTTTCCTTTATGAAATAAGTGCTCCCACTATGCAGGGTAGAAATTCATTTAATATGTACAAATAATCTTTTCAGAATCCAATAAGTAAAAAGAATTGTGGTTCAGAACCCATAAACTAAAAACCATGGCTCCGCCTCTGCTGCTATGTGCGGGATACTGAGAAAGGCCGGATTAAAGCAAGTCTTATGTAGTTTGGCTTACTTAATCACATCTTGATATAACTACCCTTTAATATGACTTTCAGGAACCCATGATGAGTTGATCAAAGATCCTGATGGAGCATATTCTCAACTTGTCCAAATGCAGCAAAAGAATAAACATGTCGAAAACACCAAGGGAAAAGAAATTGAGGGCTCAAATGCACAAAAACGTTTGAGTTGTTCGAAAAACCCTTCTGGTAGGAGCCGGAGATTCTCTATTTCTAGTAGGAAATTTGCGAGCAAAGGAGCGAGCAGTAGATTTTCCCTTGCGTATGACTTGGGAGTTACTGCCGCTGTTGATTTCCATGAGAGTATCCTAAGGGATGATGGAGCTGAAAGCAGTGAGTATATTGTTAATAGTAGCAGAAATGTGTCCACTCGAAAGTTAATGTCACTTGCATATCTAAATAAGCCTGAGGTACCCATAATGCTTGTGGGAACCGTAGCTGCTTCCATTAATGGTGCGGTTTACCCTGTATTCGGTCTTCTGATATCAACGGCTATCAAAATCTTCTATGAATCACATCATGAGCTTCGAAAGGATTCTCGATTTTGGGCCCTGATGTTTGTGGTTATTGGAGTTGTTATCATGATTGTTGCCCCTTTGCAAAATTATGCATTTGGAATTGCTGGTGCAAAACTGATCCAACGGATACGTTCCATGACGTTTGCTAAGTTGGTATACCAAGAGATCAGTTGGTTCGACGACCCTGCAAACTCATGGTAAATTTCACTAGTCCATAAATGTCTTAAATCTTTTCTTAACTTGCCAAATTTCTTGACTCTGAATTTTATTGAATACAGTGGTGCTATAGGTGCAAGACTATCTAGTGATGCTTCGACTATCCGGAATTTGGTGGGAGATGCATTAGCAACGATAGTCCAAAACATTTCCACTGTTGCAACTGGTATGGTGATAGCTCTCATCGCTAATTGGATTCTCGCACTTATAATGCTGGCGATAATGCCTCTTTTAGCCTTGCAAGGAATCATACAAATCAAACTTTTGCAGGAGTCAAATGCTGAAGCCAAGGTAATACATTCCATGATAAACTTACCTTTCTCAATTACATTATGAATTTACACTTTGTATACACTAAAAGCGTAAACAAGTTTTGCACTATTAGTGTAATAATTAGAACAAATCTCTCATGCTTAAGTCATGAGAATCGGAAGGCGTACCCCTTACCACATACTATCCAGGTGACACGGAATTACAGTGCTAGTTCTGTTTCCCGATGTACCAAGTTGTCAGCCTTATTAGATAACTAGTTTCACTTATTATATATAGTTATCAATAGCTATCTTTATGTGACCTGAATGTGTTTAAAAGTTAAATTTTAACAAAGCACATTTGATCAGTGAATCCGAATGTGTTGTGCTGTTTGGCAGGTAGCGAATGAAGAAGCAAGTCAAGTTGCCAATGATGCTATTGGGAGCATAAGAACTGTCGCATCATTTTGTGCCGAAGAGAAAGTGATGGAAATGTATCAAAGGAAATCGGAAGCTCCTTTGAAACGAGGAGCGAAAAATGGACTTGTTGGTGGAGTTGGTTTAGGCTTCAGTAGTTTCGTGCTATTCTCCCTTTATGCATTGACATTCTACCTTGGAGCCATTCTCGTAAAGCATGACAAAGCAAAATTTTCTGACGTTTTTAAGGTACATTTCTGTAACTCTTGGCTATAACTTATATAACACTAGTTGTATAAGTAATTTTTATATAATCAGTATATTTAACACTGTTGTAACCTGTCTTGCTTTCCAGGATACTAATATATCTCACTATTTATGAACGATTATTCTTTTACGCTGTCTGTGTATAGAAGATCAACTCATAAGTTATTTAAACAACTTAATTTTGCAGGTCTTTTTTGCTCTATCGATGGCATCGATTGGGCTTAGTGCTCTTGGCAACCTTCCCTCTGATCTGAGTAAGAGTAAAGGAGCTGCTGCATCAATATTCGAGATACTCGATAGAAAACCGAGAATTGATTCAAGTAGCAGCGAGGGAATCATGTTAGATGTTATCGAAGGCAATATCGAACTCCAGCATATTAGCTTTAAGTACCCCACAAGACCAGACATGCAAATCTTCAGAGATTTGAGCTTGAGCATTCCTGCAGGAAAGGTATTTATCCTATTTCAATTCTTTTCTTTTTACAACTCGTGGTGTCCGAGCCCACTTGCACACACCTCGGCTAATTCCACTAGCCCTCTTGCACACACCTCAACATATATACACATTGATTTTTGTATTATTAGTGAAGTTTCACTTGTTAATCCCCATCCTTAGGTTCCAAGTTACCTAGTGACGGAACTACATAGACCTAAGGATGATCAGTTAAACATCCTTCACCGGAAGATTCTATACTTTCTATAGAGAAAATTATACTGTATATATAGATCAAAACTATTTTCTATACATTCATATTAAATCTTAAACACCCTTGATAAAATTTCTAGTTTTGCCACTGGACTTTCTTACCAATTAATGCTTATCATAGAGATTTATTACACCTCCGGTGCATAGAACATAAACTCGACAAGAATGTTATAATTTCTTGCAGACAGTTGCCCTCGTCGGAGAAAGTGGTTCAGGGAAGTCAACAGTGATAAGCCTTATCGAACGATTTTATGATCCTGATCAAGGTTACATATATCTCGATGGAGTCGAACTCAGAAAGTTGAATTTAAGATGGTTGAGACAACAAATGGGATTGGTAGGTCAAGAGCCAATACTATTCAATGAAACAATTAGTTCAAATATTGCTTATGGTAGACAAGGAGAAGTAACAGAGGAGGAGATTATTTCAGTAGCAAAGGCATCAAATGCACATAACTTCATATCTTCATTGCCTAATGGTTACAAAACAACAGTTGGTGAAAGAGGGGTTCAACTATCTGGTGGACAAAAGCAAAGGATCGCGATCGCGAGGGCCATACTGAAGGATCCAAAGATACTTTTGCTCGATGAGGCAACTAGCGCGCTTGATACAGAGTCTGAACGTATCGTTCAAGAAGCATTGGATCGCGTGATGGTGAACAGGACAACTGTTGTAGTCGCGCATCGACTGACCACGATTAAAAATGCAGATGTTATTGCAGTAGTTAAGAATGGTGTTGTTGCTGAGAAAGGAACACATGATGTGCTCATGAATAAAACTCAAGGGGTATATGCTTCTTTGGTTGCACTTCAAACAGGAGCAACTTAAGTTTGATAGAAGTTTTTTTTGTATTTTTTTTGGTTAATTACTATCCTAAAGTTTTGTAATATTGAAATGTTTGCATTATTCTCTTCTCATCTCTCATATGTCCTAGCCTCGGTGAACAGAGTTACATGATACATGTTTCTAATGGGAGGTGGTAGATATCCTTTAGAATTAGTTGAGATGTGTGAAAACTGATCCGAACGTCACTGTCATAAATAACTAAAATATTTGTAACACATGAAATTTCATTTAAATATTCATTTGAAAAGAAATATATATATATATATATATATATTTATTTTTTTATAAATTACCTTTTTTCACTTAAAATAAAAGAAGTTCAAACTATATGATTAGCCCTACATAATCAAACATGAAAACTAAAAATTTGTAATTATGTTATGACAAACAAACAAATTAATATAACTGTTCATGTGACATTGTTGGTATATCGTTAGTTTAATTGTTAATTTTTGAAAAATAAAACTTACATATTTTGAACATGCATGATTATTTGATTTTCGAAATACGAACAGTGCTGCCTAAGTTAGGTATTTACTACATTAGTACTTCCACAATTTAAGTATTACACTATGGTCCAAAAGGTCCTTATAAATACCATTTTTCCTAGTAAAGTAAAAAAAAAAAAAGTACTCCACAGTCCACAGAGCAGCAAAAATGGCAGCAGCTGAAATGGAGAGAACGACGTCGTTTGATGCAGCTGAGAAGTTGAAGGCCGCCGATGGAGGAGGAGGGGAGGTAGACGATGAACTTGAAGAAGGTGAAATTGTTGAAGAATCAAATGATACGGCGTCGTATTTGGGGAAAGAAATCACAGTGAAGCATCCATTGGAGCATTCATGGACTTTTTGGTTTGATAGCCCTATTGCTAAATCTCGACAAACTGCTTGGGGAAGCTCACTTCGAAATGTCTACACTTTCTCCACTGTTGAAGATTTTTGGGGGTAATTTTTTTTTTCTTTCAAATTGGTGATAGTGTAGTGTAAGAGGAAACAGGGGGAGTGGATCGCAAGGTGTGGAATCGAATCCTCGTGAAAGTTTAGATAGTCAATTAATTGAGCTACTGAGATTCCCCGGATTTTTTAAAAAAAAGAATTGGGGATAGAGGAAGGGGAAATGGGGGAGATAATTATAAGGTTAAACCGTCGTTAACAAGGTGAAAGTTTAGATAGTTAATCAATTGAGCTACTAAGATGGTACGATTTTCGTAAGCTCAAATTGGAAAATAAAAAAATTAGATTATTACTAAGGAGCTGAGAAATTCAGAAATGAGTTAGCTTTTGAGCCAGCAGAGCAAGTTAAGTTGAGATTTCATTGATTTTAGCTTGTTTTTGTTGTTGGTTGTGTTCTTTGCTTGTGAATTATGGGGTTTTATTATAATGTTCCAAAAAATTTGTTGGTGTTGTAGGAATTTTTTGATTTAGGGTTTTGAATGTGTTCTGATTATCTGTCTTCATATAGGTGATATTGAGGTAAAAAAAGGTGTCTTCATTGGTTTTTCTCTCATAATTGTTAGATTTTCTTCTTGTACATTTTGCATTTTTAGTTAACTTGCCAAGGTGTTTAGTTAATGCACGACGTGCAGTCTTACTATGGAATGCTGAATTGGTTTGAGCTTTAGTTTATGCAAGCTGTATTAGTAATTGCACATTGCTTTGTCCTTTTTCAGTTAGCACTTTCTAAAAAAATGGAATTATCTCTCGGTTACTTGCCAATTTTAAGTTTAGTTCATGGATCAGATTCAGTGAATAGATATATGCTCTTGGTGGTAGGAGGACAAGGATAGATAAAGTAATCTCGGTGTAAAGGAGACGAAGTGCAGAATGAATGGAAGTTGAGACATTTTGGAGGATGGGGTAAAGAATGACCGGTGAAGTTCTAGGAAAGAAAAAGTTAACCTTGTTGAAAAGTCATATTTCTCTTCCTTGCACAATCTTGTGTAGGAATGTCTTTAATTGGGTTATGTCGTCGGATAGTTTATATTGCTTCAAATTTAAGAACTTCTTTCATATTTGTCAAATGCTCATATTTACAACTAAGGATATTTTGAGCTAATAAGGTAGTTGATAATGTGTTGGTCTTAGTTTTCTCTCCAAAGCAAGATAATATAGTTACTATTTTCAAGTACAACTACTTTTTCTTTAATTTACATATAAGAGCAGGTCCTGTACTTCATAGCTGTGATACCTCTATGTGCATTTGTCTTAATGTACCAAGCTGACTATTCACTTTTAAAAATAAAGAGAGATGTGAAATTATTTCTTAATTAGGCTAAAATATGCTCATCTTCCCTGTAGATTGATGAGACTAAACTTGGCTGCAGGCCAGTATTTTCGATCTCACGCATAGACCTTTTTATTAAGTCCTATGATTTGAGTAACTAGGTGGTAATGGTGTGAATTTGATGTCTGTCATGGATGCGTGTACCTTGTTTGGTGAGCTCTTTATTGGTCTAATTACTCAAGGCACATAAGTTATCGTACAACTTGGACTATGACATGCCTGTTTGATATTCCACATCATGGATTAGGTCTTTTAAATGCTATTATCCTTTTGGCTCATGATGAAATCTTGAACCATGTCGCTTATTCTGCAAACAGTGCTTACAATAATATCCATCACCCAAGCAAGTTGGTTATGGGAGCTGACTTTCATTGTTTTAAGCATAAAATTGAGCCAAAGTGGGAAGATCCTGTATGTGCCAATGGAGGGACGTGGAAAATGAGTTTTTTGAAGGGTAAATCTGATACCAGCTGGCTATATACGGTATGCCGAAGATATTTCCATCCAGCTCTTAATGATAGGTCACTCTAGTAATGTTATTTTCCCCTTTGATATAATTTCACCTCTTGTTTTCTTATATGGGATTACTGTAGCTGCTGGCTATGATTGGACATCAATTTGATCATGGAGATGAAATTTGTGGAGCAGTCGTTAGTGTCCGGTCTAAGGGAGAAAAAATAGCTTTGTGGACCAAGAATGCTGCAAATGAAACAGCTCAGGTAATTTGCTTTTTATTTTTGGTTTCAACGGCCACGTTTGTCATTTTCGTGGATCAAGTGGACAGACATTTTTCGTTGTGTACATACTGTAGTGCTGATGTTTATTCAAGATATGCTATGAAATACATTGTACCATTGAGGATATTGGAAGTTAAGAAGGCAAGTCATCAGATATATAGCATGGTTTCACTATTTTTATCTACATTCTAGGTAAGAGGATATCTCAAACATTGATACACTGTGTATTTGTCTAACTTTATAGCTTTTGGTAGTGAATTACTAACATAAGAAAACAATACAGCTGGAAGCTAAAAAGAAATATTCTTGTGGATGAAGGGAAGTGTTAATTTGTCTGCAATAATATGTTAATTTTTTTGATTGCTATATAATATGCTAACTTAATTGTTGGGGTGGTGTTAATATGTATGGAGCACTTTATGATAAACTCATCTGTATGTTTAATAGAAAGGCAAAGCGTTGAAGTAGGGAGGTGTGCCATACATCAAAGAAGGCTTATTAACCGACATTAGTAATAGACATAGGTTATTGTTTTCAGCTCCTCCCAACACGTCTCAGACGTTTTGTAGAACTGGCATTGGTATCTTTAGTACCCAATCATATAATTGCATAATCTAGACTATGATTATTGCTTGGTTGGCAACTCAGGTATGTGAAGCTTAAATAAAGTGAACTTACATATGAAAAGGATACTATTTTGATGTTATTTTCTGGGGAACTGTGGATATTGTTGTCAAATTGCTTGCTACATTCCTGCTTGATATGTCATTACTTAGTATTTATTGTTGGGAGATTCTGGTATCATTCCAAGATCCATAGACGATTTGAGAAGTCTTAAAATTCTTTTATTCCAAGGTTAATTCATTTGGTGTAGTCATCCGGTATCCAATAACCCCCCCCCCCCCCCCCCCCCCCCATCCCCACCACCCC